TCAAGTTCATCACTAAAATGAAGACTAGACAGTGTTCAAGCAAAAGCGGCAAAATTAATCACTGGTTCTGTTTCAAATACCAACAATTAGAAATTCAGAGAGAATGTGGTCTTTATCTACTTGAAAGCAGAAGACAATTAAAAACAATATAATTCACCAATAGCTTAAAAACTAAAGAAACCGAACACATATCCCATAGAACCTATTTAAACTGGACACAAAAATAAAGGCTCAAAAGATCTTCAACACCTTAGTAAGACAACAATATTAGAAAGAGCATAAATATGAAACATAATGAATTTCAAATTCGAGAATAACCAATATTTCCTACCCCATTGCCATCAAATGTAATCATCAATCTTAACCTGAATGAACCCTGCAATATAAAAAAGAGAACAAAAACATTCTTAAAAAGAAAGGACTTGACACAATTGGTTTATGCGATCAGATAAATTATTTAACAGCATATACAGATGGATCATCAGACCTTACCATAAGTAATGGAGGGGCTGGAATTAACATAATACTGCAAGCTGGAACATACATCAAAATCAAAGAAGGAGCAAGAGAGATTTCGTTAAACTTCACTTGTGAACTGACAGCTATCTGGAAAGCTCTTGATGTATGCCTTAACCAACCATCCCTGCATCAAGCAGAAGGAATTATAATATACCGTACAACGACTTCATATCCGATCTAGAAACAATTCAGAAGGGCAATACTATAATCACACAGAAAATACATTCGTTACTTACTCAACTGATATCATTGGAGAATAACTGCATTCTACAATGGATTCCTGCCCGTGTTGGAATCGGGGGTAATGAAATGCCAGTTGAATTTGCAAAGGAAGCCAGAAAGTTGAGCCAAAGGAAAGAACAAATGTCATTATTTGACGCTAATGCTTTTGCAAAATACAAGATAGTTAAACAAAAAAATAAGAAAAGATCAAAATGTGAAATAAAATCCGAGAGAAAAATGACAAAACTATAACAAGATTTAGAACAAAACATTATAAAGGATGACAATACATCCAGATGGCACAAGAACCTATAGAACATGCAACAACTGTCCTGGTGTGGAACTAACACCTACCCACATATTCTCATGCCCGCAGCCTTGTAGAAAATTGACATAGACCCAGAGCAGCTGCTTTACACACCCAAGATAGTGGACAATGCTGCTGCTGCTGTGATAGAGATATATGGGGACATCTGAGGCTCTTTATTGGACACGACAAAAACAACAACGGCATTCCAGAGTAAAATAAATCATCAGAGATAGATCAATATTTTTCAAATGAATTAAAATAAATATAATCGATACTGAAAGAGAGTTGTGAATTAAAAAAAATAGAAATTTATTATTTTCGAAATATAAATATCTGAGAGGATTCCAGCAAACCGCATCTAAAATATCTTTTTTTTTTTTTTGCTACATGTTTTAATTTGCATATACCTATTTTACATATCTCAGATTGTATTTAAAAATCGTTAACCATTTCTTCTAACTTTTGGCTAAATGGTGTTTTATCAATTTATCATTTGATATTATTTGGGTTCTTTCCTGGTATTCAAAAAGGAAAAATACGTGTCGTTCAGTTATATTTTTCAATTTATCAAACAATTTGGCCGCTGAATAGCGGATTCTGGTAGAGCGCCATCTAGCGAATAAAGTTGTAACTGATATCAATTTCGAATTTTTCATTATTTGCCATAAAAAAATCCCATTGCATCCTGAACACAATGGTGTTTACCGCATTGCTCTAGCGCAAATATTCACGGAGTTATTAATTTTTAAAGTTGTGCGGGACTTTTGGATCACCCTGTATATAAGAATTATTTAAGAATGTATTTTTAAAATATAATAAATTTTAAGTTACAGAATTTTTAAATATTAAATATAATTTAATCAATAAGTTATTAAATTTACCGATATTTAAATTTTAAACTTATCTCATATGGTATATATATAAATTAATTTCTATTTTTTTGTTATTTTTCATATATATATGTTGTAGATATTTTTTCTTTTGCCATTTTATTTATTATGTGAATAATGCTATTTTATTTTCATAGATTAACTCTGTGACGCCGACGTCGAGAAGTCCAAATGGCGCTGTATATATAAAAAGACCTATTGTTGCTTTTGTCATTTGTTTTAATCATGTAAATTGGCCATATATTTAGTTAAAATCAGGTAATCTACATATAAGATGCCTCAATTTTCGATTACTATTTTTTTTGTAAACTTTGACTTTAGATTACAAAATAAACTAGCCAATAGTCTTTTCACCAGCTCATTATTTTTCTAAAAGATTATTATATAATATATATATATATAAAGCACATGTGCTCGTGGTCAGGAGATGCCTTCTTTATTTTTAATATATATATATATGTAAAATTAAAAAGGCATATCCTGACCAAAAGCACATGTGCTTTTCAAAAGGCAGAGCGCCATTTGGTGGAACAGAAATCAACTAAACATTGATTTAGCCTGTTCCCT